TGAAAATTTGACCCAGTATAACTTGCCCTCTAAATAGGTAAATCCCACAACTCAAAGCTCTCTATGAAGAGGTTAAACTTCCTCATACTCATTGTAATCCGGTGATTTGGGTTGTTCAATTCACTCAAAAATCTTATGACATTAAAATCTCCTCCCAAACATCAGGGTCCCTCCCATAGACCTCTCACTGCTGCTAATTCCTCCCAAAGTCCCTCCCTTTCCTTATAAGAGGTGGGTCCATACACATTAGTTAAAACCCAGTCCTAGTCATCCATCATCCTCTTCAACTTAATGGACACTGAATACCTCCCAAGAAACTCCTCAGTACACTCCATCTCTACATTTTTCCACAAAGTTATAATTCCCCCTGAAGCTCCCCAAGATTGTGCGTATGCCCAACTTATGTCTCTTGCTGACCAAATACTTCTTACCCAAATCCTATCTATCTCAAACAATTTAGATTCTTGAATCAACATAATATCTGGTTTTTCTCTTCGCAACAAATCCCTAATCACTCCTCTTTTTCTTCACTCCATCTCTACATTTTTCCACAAAGTTATAATTCCCCCTGAAGCTCCCCAAGATTGTGCGTATGCCCGACTTATGTCTCTTGCTAACCAAATACTTCTTACCCAAATCCTATCTATCTCAAACAATTTAGATTCTTGAATCAACATAAGATCTGGTTTTTCTCTTCGCAACAAATCCCTAATCACTCCTCTTTTTCTTGAGCTTCCTAACCCTTTACATTCCAGCTAATCAATTTCATGGAGACTGTGACATAATACCCTTTAACCAAATAAACCACTCACCGCTTCTTCTCCTTTTTTGCAACACTCCCTTTATCATAATCCACCTCACATCTTAGCCTTTCCACCTCACTTAATTTTTTCTTTCTCTGCTTTTTTACACCAGTTCCTTTAGAACTAGGCTCCTCTAGCTTCTCTTTCCCCTCTTTCTTTCTATTTGGACCCTTTTTCTTTATTTTCCCCTTTTGTTTTTTTGACCCAGCTTCTGCATTTAATCTACCATCACCCTTTACTTCCTCTTCAACAATAAGATTATGAGTATCACCCTTCTCACCCCATTCGATCTGTTCAGCCATCTCTTCCTCCACCTGAATTCTAAGCAGTTCCATAACCAGCTCCCAAATTCTATCCCCGACAGATCTCTGAGATTTAATCTCTTTACAATGAGAAAAACTTTGATTCTTTTCTTTAAAGATTCAATCTAAGGGCTTGGAAAGCTTGTTCTCTAATGAATCTGGAAGTGTGCACAATCCAAGAGTTAATGAAACTTTTTCTTGAACAGATACTTGTAAATCTTGTAGTGGTTGTACCGTATAGATCTCTTATAGTGAAGCACTAAGCATTTCTTGAGTTGGTGAAGAACTTTGGAGGTCTTCTATAGATGGAGGTCTCTAGAGCTTTCTTTTTGTTCTCCCCAAGAACTCTTGTGAGTTGGGAAAAAGGTCCTTTCCTTGTAAACGAGAGCCTTTTTATAGAGGTATGTTGTTAACATGTGGCACAAAATTTTTATGTGCCTACAGCATCATCTCTTACTTTAAGTAGGACTTTATTGCAACCTAATTTCAAATTAGATGTTTGTCGGTTTGAACTAAGAACCCTACGGGTCCCATACAAACTGAGATTCACCTATCCTCTGCCCATTTTATCTTGAACTATTTCCTAATTAATTTGGATTTGTTTCCTTTTTTGGAATTGAACTGAGATTTGGGAGAAATCCCAATCCCAATTCAAATCCAAATCAATCTATACCCAAGTTGGAATTGGATGGCATATTATGTATAGGGTTTTGGTTTGCCCTTTACAAGAGAGGTTTTTTTATGAGATGAATTAAGTGAAACTATTACCCTAGCATTAAGGTTAAGGTCCAAACTAATCAAAACCTTAATTCCTAACCAGTAGAAACCCTAATTTCATTCTCAGAGCTTTTGAAGTCATTGGAATGAATGGGCAATTGATCTAGAATCCAAGAGAAGGAGTTGTATCACCTAAAACTCGGGTTGATCAAGGGATAACACCAGATTTTGGGTATGAACACCGTAGAGAGCTTCTGCACTTGTGGGAGAATTGTTTCTAAAGTATGATATAGTTTGGCCAATCAATTGATCCTATCCCAAAAGGGATTTTGATTGGAAAACAAGTACGGAGTTTCCTGCATTCATTATCCCTTTCAAAGACATCCAAAAGGAAACATGTTCTGACATAAAAACAAGTAGGAAGCTTCCAGCAAGGCATGACCTATTTCTGCCATATTTTTTCCATGTGAACGGATGATGTTAGAACTCAGAAACATCCATTCGGTGAGGGACCTTCTAGGTTGGGCACTTACCTGCCTAGTATTAGTGTTTTACCCTAGTAATACTGGCCATTATGTTGAGATTCTATGGACTGATCTTGCATTTATAGAGTATTTATGGCATTATTGTAGACTGGGTGTACTACTATATCACAGTACCATACTTTTTATGCACTAGATCATAGATGTATCTCTATGTATTTATTTGTAAGAGGACAGATTAGTCCTTATTCTTTTTTAAATTATATATGACATTCTGTTTTGGGTGATGTCATTCATCAAGACAATCCTGTACAACTTAGTGTCTCTCGTTTTCTCTTCTCAAGCTGCTTCTAACTTGGTATCAGAGCAGGTCAATCTTGTGTGATTTGATTGGAGGTTACATACTGCTATGCTAATTGATAAACTTATAGGCAGGTCTAAGGAGATACTTTGTCCCTCTTTAGAACACTTCTAGGACTGTTTTGATCAACCCTAAACTGCAGGTGTTTTTGAAGAGCATGCAACCAGATTTTCTCTCATCTCTTGATCTCTCTGGTAGGTGATCTGATCTTGATAAAATCTCAGATTTCGTGTTGCAAAAACCTAGTTTAATCTCTGGTTATATTTTATCTAGGATCAGACTTGTATTGGGAAGGTTTTGATCCTTTCTTCCTATTTTTCTCTGCAGTAACAACTTCTTTATATTTTCCCTTTTTGGGTTAGTACAGAAATCCCTTGTTTGGCTGCTTTCTTTGGTGTTGGATCCCATAGGAGTACTTGCTTATCCCTAAAAATTCTATATCATCCAAAAAATCAAGTACATATTTCATCTATGACAAAAAGATGCCCCATTTTGACATTGCCACTTTAATTCCCAAGAAATACTTCAAGTGTTCCAAATCTTTGATCTAGAATTGCAAAGTGTGTTGGAAGAGCAATTTTAAGAGAGGTATTGGAGATACACCTCGGATACACATACAAATCAGAGAAAAAAAATAAGATACACATGGGTACATTATAGATGCTTCAATAAATCATAAAAATATATCAATAACACTAAATATAAGGCTTCAATGAGGTATACATAGATACAAATTACATATTCTAGTGGGTTTCAATGAGGTATAATACATAGAAAAGAGCAAAATATTCACCCCAAGTCAGCCTATTGGAGTATGACATTAAATATGTTTGCCTCAAGTACTCAAATCATTCCATAGTGCACTGTTGATAACAAGGTTGAAGCAGATAACTTGATCCACATTCTCCAAAATCATTCCATAGTACTCAAATCTTTTTTTTTTAACCAACATGCTATCACCACCACCATAGTAAGAAGAGAAAAAGGATGTGGTGTGTGATCATAGTAAGAAGAGTAGAAGAAGGAAGAAGAGTGAAGTGGAAAAGCTGGTTAGTGAGATTGACTATGATAAGGAAGAGAATAGAAGGAGGGGTAGAAGAGGGGAAGGCTGTTAGTTCAGGCTCTCTTCTTTGGGTTCAGTTTTAGAGGAGGCATGAAGATTCTAACTTCTAAGCTGGAACTTGAGAGGGTTAGGGAGCACGAAAAAAAGAAGACTAATAAGAGAGGCTCTTAAAAAGGAGAAACCAGATGTGGTTTTTGCAAGAAACAAAAATTCAAGAACTGGACAGAATATGGATTAGGAGTATTTGGGGTACAAGGGGTCTGAGCTGGGCTTATGCTCCCTCTTGGGGAGATTCAAGAGGAATTCTTACAATTTGGAAAAAATGAGGAACTAGAAGGGTTAGAGGAACTAATAGCTCAACTCTCAGTGTCAATCAAATTTAGAAGACTGACATATGGCAAGGAATGGACTTTGAAAAATGTGTACGGCCCAAACTCTTACAGAGACAGGATTCAGTTGTGGGAAGAGCTAAGTGCAATTAGAGGCCTTTGGGAGGGTTCGTGATGTCTAGGTGGTGATTTCAATGTAATAAAATTCTCTCCACAGACAAATAATCCAATCTAGAGAGTAACCACTAGCATGAGGAAGTTTAATGAATTTGTGGACCTCTTTGAACCGAAGGAGTTTCCCTTGCTGCAAGCTAATTACACTTGGTCAAAATTCCAGTCTTCCCTAGTTTGCTCTAAGCTAGATAGGTTCCTTTTTTCGATGGATTGGGAGATTATGTAGGTGGATCTTTTTTCCAAAGCATTGGTTAGAGTTACTTTGGACCATTGCCCTATTTGTCTAGCTCAAGGAACATCGCTTGGAGGCCCCTTTCTGCAGGGGTTAAGACTAGCCCAGTATTGTGGTCTCCACTATATGTTAAGTTCAACACTTGCACCTAATAAGGCAAAGAAAATGGAAGTGGAAGGAACTTGTCAAATAATAAGAATGTAACATGCAAACAATTTCAAATGCTTGATTCATCAAGCATTCTGTAAGACAAAATTTTATTAGTCTGAAATAGTTTCACCAGTCCTTACCAAAAAAATAAAAATGGAAATAGTTCATCAGCATGGAAAATAATGTATACAATTGAATATAGAATAATAGCACTAATCAAAATAGTATTCATTTACAATAATCCAAATTGAAATAAAACAATAAGTAATCCTTCAAATATATAGAAAACTACCATAATGAAATGTCAGTGCAAGACCGTAATGTAAAATAATCAGCCTGTCCATATCCCTTTCAAATGAAACTTGAATCACAAAGTAGATAAAATACCTGGTTTTGGAAAGCCCAGGGGGTAGTCATGGAGATCTAGAAGTCCATCCCCAAATTCATATGCTAGATCACATGGCTGTTCAGTTGACATTATTTCATTAAGCTGTGTCACAGTGAAGTATAATGGACAAAAAGAATTTGATACTCCTGCTAAAACAGATCCACCTGAATATACATAATGTTGATTAGCTGAGCTATTTTACAAACAAAACGATGTGTAGATGACAACATTAACTGTATAGAGATGCAATCAGGATAAAGCAAGTAATATGCCACACAAAACAACAAATGAGAATTTCATTTAAAATAATTAATAAGCTCAATAGCTTTTCTTCAAGCAATGGGAGGAGTAGATCATCTAGCAGAATGGGACTAAAGCTAGGCTCCATTTTCACCAGAGCTCCATTTCCAAAGAGCACAAAAATAAGCATTCTCTCAGATGCCAAATTCTATCACCTGTAGCATACTTCATATTAATGATCTGTCTCCACAAGCTATCTGGATCCTCATTATATCTCCAGAACCACTTCCCAAGAAGTGCCACATTGAAAGGTTTTAGAGAAGCACACCTTGTTCTAGCTCCAATTTAACAAAGGACATAGCATTAAACAGAACAGCATGGTGAAACAAGATTCATGTAGCCAACCCCATATAGTTGGGATAAGGCTTAGATGCTGCTGATGATGATGATGATGATGACCTTGTTCCAACTCACTTAAGGGTGGAGGTCATCTTTCCATCCTTTCCAAAGGAAGTCTCATTCTTTTTTACATCACCACAGCCAAATTAGCAGGGATAGCAAAGAGAGGCATCATAGAAGTAGGGAGAGAGCCTAAAACACTCTTAATAAGGGTCACATTACCACCTTTAGACAAATATTTTGCCTTCCATCCTGCAAGTCTTCCATCAATCATTTCCATTATAGGGTCCCAAACTGATTTAGAGATGCACCTTCCCTGCCTTGCACCCCAAACCATTTCATAATAAAACTGAGATATTCCAACTACTCTTGAGATGCCTTAAAGAAGAAAAATTATCACCAACAAACTGTAAGAGAGCCATTTCCTCTCTTTTCCAACTCTAAAGCCCTCACTGAAGCCCCCATCAACAGTTCTATGAACCATCCTGCTAAGAGCACCAATTACACAAATAAAGAGAACAGATAAGGGATCCCTTATCTAATACCACTTGAGCTGAAGAATCTCCCTTGTGCTGTACCAGTAATCAAAGTTGAGAAACCTATGGAAGGGATACACTTTTGTCCAAGCATCCAATTCCACCATTTAGGTGTTAGGCCCAAAATTAAGTCTTTTCAACATATAATCAAGAAAGCCCCAGTTGACGTGGTCATACTGTTTCTCAAGATCCCCCTTAAACAGCACCTCAACCTCTCTACTTCTCACCCTTGGGTCCATAATTTCATTAGCCACCAAAATCTACCTTCCATGATGTAGAGAAACTGAGCCAGATGGGCCCTAGTGCTCTATCTTATTTCTTTTTCTTTTATATGTTATGTTACTGTTAATGGGCCTTGTCCATGTGGGCCTTTTAACCATCTTTTTTGTTTCTTTCAAGTTATGTTTAAGAGCTGGCCGCCCCATTAAGGGCAATATTGTAATTGATTCATAATTATTAGTTTAATAAAACAGATTAGCAGAATGGAGAGAGATCAGATGAACTCTCTTCTCCTTCTCCTTCTTCCTCTTCTACTGTTTCTCTTCTCTGCTCTAATTCTGTTTATTTTTCAGATTTCTATTCCAATTTTACAGGACTGAATCACATCTTGTTATCAAAGCAACTCTTTTCTTTTTCTTTTCTCTCTTAATCCCATACAAGGTTTAAAATATTGATACAGGCCGATACGCATATCGAAGCTTGCTCTCCTGGTCTTTTTTTTCTTTGAAACTGGTTCAGAGGGGTCAGTTTAAGGCTGGTCTACCCCCTGAACCAGGTCAGACCCCAATACAACCCCTATAGGGGTGTATCGTTAAGCCACCAATACGATACAATACACCTGATAAACCGTATGTCCTTCTCTTTGCTTCCCATGTTCCTATTAAATTTTGGGGAGATGTTGTCCTTACAGCTACATATTTGATAAACCATATGTCCTCCCAAGTTTTGGGTTTCAAGACCCCCTTTAGCCTCCTTTATCCTGATAAGGATCTCTTCTCTTTCCTCTTCGGGTTTTTGGATGTACTTGCTATGTGCATGTTTATAGCCACCAAAGGCACAAATTTGAGCCTAAAGCTCACAAGTGTATTTTTCTTGGATATGCCCCCACACAGAAGGGATATTGTTATTATGATCCAGTGCGTGGCACCCACTTTGTGCCTAGGGATGTCACGTTTGCAGAGTCTATTCCTTTCTTTGGAATTTCTCCTTAGGGGGAGAATCCAAAGGAGTTGTTTGTAGTGTCTTAGAGACCTTTGCTCCTGTAGCTGAAATGGCATTTGTTCGGGCTTTGTTATCATTGGTTGCTAGTTTTAACTGGGCAATCCATCAATTTGATGTTAAAAATGCCTTCTTGAATGGAGATTTGCATAAAGAGTTGTACATGTCTTTACCTCCAGTGTGTATAGGAAGGAAATGAAGGGGAAGGTGTGTAAATTGAAGAAGTCCTTGTATGGCCTCAAACAACCTCCTAGGGCTTGGTTTGAAAGATCCTGAGTTGCTCTTGTTGCTTTTGGATACACACAGACTCAGTCTTATCATACCCTATGTTGATGACACTATGGTTACTGGTGGTGATACACAAGAAGTGCTTAGCCTTAAGAAGTTTCTTAACTCTGAATTTGAGATCAAAGACTTAGGGGAACTCAGATTTTTAGGAATTGAAGTTGCTCGGTCTAAAGAAGGTATTTTCATTTCTCAACGCAAGTATGTCCTTGACCTCCTTGTTGAGACTAGAAAACTTGGTGCTAAACTGTCCTCCACACATATAGATTTGAATCACAAACTCTCGGCTACTAATGGTGAGCTTTGCCTAATAGGGGAGTGTTCTGGAAAATGCTTGCGAAGTTGTTGTATCTTTGTATGACTCGGCCGGATATTTCCTATGTAGTTAGTGTCATTAATTAGTTCATGCATTCTCCTAGAGACACACATATTGCAACTACTAAGAGAATTTTGTGTTATTTGAAAGGCATTCTAGGGAAGGGCGTTCTTTTTGCTAAGCATGGGCACGTGAAACTAGAAGCATACACTGCTGCAGATTGGATTGGATGTATTGATGATAGGAGGTCTACCTCGAGATATTGTACTATGGTGGTAGGGAACATTGTTTCATGGAGTAAGAAACAATCTGTAATGACCAGATCCTTAGCTGAGGCAAAGTACATGACAATGGCCTATGGAGTTTCAGAACTATTGCTGCTTAGATCCCTTTTGGGAGAATTTGGTATTGACTATGAGAAGCCAATGATGCTATATTGTGTCAACCAAGCAGCTATTAACATTGCACATATTCCTGCCCAGCATGATAGAACAAAGCACATAGAGGTTGATAGACATTTTATACGGGAAAGAGTTGATTCAGGGGAAGTTTGCTTGCCATTTATTGCCTCTGAAGAACAGTTGGTTGATGTCTTGACAAAGGGTGCTCCAAAAGGGAAACTAATACATTACACAAGCAAGTTGGGTATAATTGACATCTATGCTCAGCTTGACGGGGAGTGTAGAGAAACTAGGCTAGATAGGCCCTGGTGCTTTATCTTATTTCTTTTTCTTTTATATGTTATGTTAGTGTTAATGGGCCTTGTCCATCTGGGCATGTTAACCATCTTTTTTGTTTCTTTTAAGTTATGTTTAGGAGCTGGCCGCCCCATTAAGGGCAATATTGTAATTGATTCATAATTATTAGTTTAATGAAACGGATTAGGAGAATGGAGAGAGATCAGATCAAACTCTCTTCTCCTTCTCCCTTCTTCATTCTTCCTTCTTCCTCTTCTACTATTTCTCTTCTCTTCTTCATTTCTGTTTATTTTTCAGATTTCTATTCTGATTTTACAGACTGAACGACATTTGTCTATTATTCTTTCCTTATTTCTTTATTTTGTTCTTGCTTTAAGTTTCTACAGTTACTTTACCCTCTTATATACATTTGTTAACTGCATTACTTTGTTTATGAAATTAACTACTGCAGTTATTTAGTTTACTTGTTGAATCATCTTATATAACTGCATCTTCTAGACTTGGACACACCCCACCTTCATTCTGCAGGATTTAGTTTCAATCTCTTCAAGAAGACTTTGATTTTTGGGGGAAGTTTTCAGTTATACCCAATTCACCTCCCCTCTTGAGTAAAGCCATCAAGTCCAAAAGATGTTTAACAATAGCTACCTGAATTAATGCAATTAGGAGAAAAATAAATACATTGAAAATTTTACATTGCTTGAATGAGCTCTTGTGAAAGTTGATGATGTAATTGTTGAGTTGGAGGGAACATTTGAAGATTTGAACATGGGAGTTCATTGAATGTTTAAAATTCCATGTGAAGTTGAGCTGAGCAGCACTGGGGTTGAAGCACAGGATTTGAAAGTTGGTGCAAGAGATTGAAGATTAAAGCAAAGAGTTTCCTGCTCAAGGAAACCAGAATCAGTGGGAGACCTGCAGTAAAGATTAGATAGTTTAAGGCAGCATTAATGCTATTAGTGGGAGATGCAATATGTTGATTCAAAGATTTTTATGAGGGTATGATTTTGTCCAAAAAGGTTGGTGAATGAAAGGCAGTGAAAGAAATTGACGAAAGAAAATATATTGCCGAAAGAAAGAGCAATGCCATTGTCCTTTTGGAACATTTTTGGGTTGGGAAGAGGTAATTAGTTTGTTTTCCTAAGGGTAGGCTGAGATCAATGTTGGGCAAAAAAACTGAATTAAGAAAAATGCCATGACAAAAAACAGAATGTTTAAGGATTTCTCAGCTGAGGACATTCACAGAAACTGGAGAGAGATTGCAGCTACATCTTCCTTTAGGCCTAAAGTGCAAGGAATTATGGTTCCCACCAACACAATACAGAATGAAGCTATAACTTTGAAGGGAAAACTAGAGGCAACCCAGGACTGTCAAGAATTGGGGGAGTATTTAGAGATGGAGATCGTAAAATTGTCGCTATGTTTTCAGGGCCTATAGGAGTAGGAGACTCTTTGAGGATGGAGGTAATGGC